CTAACAAATTTTTACATTGCAGTTTTTATTTCAACTGTACGTGTATGTGTAGATGCACATGCACACATATGAAACAACACAGACACACACACACACACACACACACACACACACACACACACACACGTATACATGAATATAATTATGATAAATTCCCATATATATTTACATACATATAACTGCATTTGTTTTATTTTATTGACTAATGTTTAACTAAGTAGGTTTGTCTATTCATCTATAATAATGCCTGCATCAGCACAGCTATAAATAAACCATTCTGTGAACAATTTTTTTAAAAATTTTGAGACATTTCATTTCAATAATAGAACAAATTGATATAATTAATTATTAATTGAGAGAAATAAGTCGAATGTGCATGCATTAACGTGTAATAAATGACTATTCTGAGGGGCGATATAGTACCAGTTAGTAGCATTAATCAACTAACTTAAAAATATTTATAATTTTTTTTTTATAAAACTCATTAACGGTAGTTATCAACTTTGAAATATTTAAACCTGTAAAGCGTTAAATAAGCATCGAATCATTTTGATAAAGTTATAAAGAATGAGAAACGCTTTTCCTTTTCGAACAAGTACGCATACTTAACCCAGCATTTTGTTAAGGCGTTCAACATATAGCCACTCATTACTACGTTACTACATTACACGTGTATTTACTTATACATATATGAATTTTACGTACATATACAATACACACGCGCGCACACTCACACACGCAGACGCACACATGCATCGTACATGTAAATATATACAAACACACATACATACAGTATATGCATGCACATACCTACCTACAGGCAGAGGCTGAAAGTTTTGTGAGAAATTTTTGCCATAATGTGCTGTTTGGTGTGTTATTTGTTATGTTATGTTTGTATGTGTGTTACATGTTTTTTTTTCATTGTGTTGTTAGTTTGGCGTTGTGACTCTTTTATTTTTTTATGTTTACGAACTTGCCCGCCTATATATATATATCTTTGTAGGTGTTTGTGTCTGCGTGCGTGTGTGTCTGTGTGCGTATGTGTCTGTGTGGGTGTGTGTCTGTGTGCGTGTGTGTCTGTGTGCGTGTGTGTCTGTATATATACACACACACTAGTTAATTATCATCCGGTTTGTTTGCATGCTGCTGAATAATTATGCATGAGTTTCGTTTTGTATCGATACATGATATAGTTTTTGTATTATTTTGTATTATTTTTGAGTTTCGTTTTGTATCGATACATGATATAGTTATATATAAAATATTTATCAGTGTGTGTATATGTAGATATTAATATATCCAAGTATGTGCTTATGGTAATTGTTTGAAGTATAAATGTTAAAAATGTCATAGATGTGTAAGCAGATACGTTAAAGAATAGGATAGAGTCTCGCCCTACGTGTCTTCGGCGTTGCTTTAATTTTACATTTTCTAGTTTTTGAACATGAGTTGGTCTTAATTGTTTAATTCATTAATATTTCTACAATAATTTTTTCAAGAGTTCAGCAAATTTTGTCTTATTTTGTGCCAGTTTCATTTTGTTTTTTGCGTATTTATTTTCATGTTATATATGTGTGTTTGTATGGTCTTGTATATGTTTTGTTTGTGTTTTGCATTTTGTATGTGCTATTTTAGCTTGGTAATCTTTCAATGTCTTGCTTGTGGGGCTATTTTCTGCGTTTTTCAAAGTTTATATTAATATCTTTAGAGGAAAACGTTTCATTATACTTATCAATAAGTATGTGATTCATTTTTTAATCTACCCAATGCTTAAGAATTTAAATCATTTCGGTACCGAGAAATGTAGTTATTCTTTGAGCAACTTTGCGAGCATGGAAAATGTAATGATTGTGGCCCACCCAAAAATAAGCTCGTGCTGAGAACTGCCCGACATTGTTTTAAAGAAATTTGACAAATCTCTAAACCACTTATAGAATCGAATATAGTTGAATGTGATTAAACATAGTTGTATATTATTATTGATCCCGGCTCAATAATAAGCTAAGTTTGTCAAAACTTATTGCAACTATTAATAGTAGAACTGTTTCTTTTGTTTGCGTGTACACACACCACAAACACACACACGCAAACCACACACACACACACACACACACACGCACTACGCAAACACACACACACATGCACACGTACTCAAAATTACAACTAATACAATGACATTTAAATAACAGTAAAACAATACAGGTTTCGAATACCGCGTGTATCTGGTTATATATATGGTTATTTCATAGACAGCTATACCACACGTTCGTTCAGTAAATACAATATAAGATACGAAATACGTTTACAAGTGAACTATTTCAATCTGCAGTTTTCGTTGCATTTGACGTTTTTGCTGTTTTAAAAAATGAATTTTGTTGAGTGTTCTAAAGTTGAAGCTTCGTTGGTTAGTAACCTTCGGCTAATAATTTCATTGCATGTTATTTTCACATATTTTTTCATTTCTTCTAGCCCAATCCAAAATGCAGTTGCAATACAATTCAATTAAAAAATGTTGCCAAACAGTTATTCAACCCGAACATCGTAAAAAAAAGTTATTTGTTTGAAAAATGCTTTTAAAGGAACTATTCCCAAATATAATTCAATTTAAAATTTTTTTCTTCAAAAAATTGCTCCAAGAAAACAAGACGTATGATTTGGTGGGTTCTTTTCTTATTTCAATCAGTACGTCTTCTACTTGATAACAACTGCCTAACGTAACAACACATGCTAACTAACAGAGAAAGGCTTGCCATATATTTTAGAAATTGCGCTATATAAATCAGTTTGATTGATTGGTTGATTGAATAAATTGATGAATAAGCCAGTAAATGATTGTATAAACGAACTAGTGAATGTATGATTGAATGAATGAATGAATGAATGCATAAATAAATTTAATGATTTAAGAGATTATATTTGACAAATGATATTTTTTTTGTCTTTTCTATCTTTATTATCATAAATCAATTTCATTTCTCTCCTTCTCTCTCTTTCTCTCTCTCTCCTTCTCTTTATTTTTTTCTCTCTTTTCCTCTCTCTCTTTCTCTCTCTCTACATAATAGTTTCAAAATGGAACTGTATCGCACGTAATAACGTTTTAATACAAGTTGTATGGTTTGGTGACTCCCATTAAAAAGCGTCTTATGCTACTATCAAATATTTTTTCTCTACATCTGATATCGTTTCTCTCTCTCTTCTGCCTCCCCCCCTCTCTCTCTCTCTTCTCTCTCAGTCACACTCGAAATTCCAACGAATCACAAACAGCTGAATATATAAGTATTGCATTAAAATTTATTATTACCAACATTCTTCTTTATTTAACAGTCGCTCTGCGGAAATTGAACTATTCAATTTTTGTTAAAAATTGGATAATAAATTGCATTGTTTGCTTTAAAGAAATACCACTCATTTCATATATTAGAGGGAGAGAGAGAAAAAAGAGAGAGAGAGAGAGAGAGAGAGAGAGAGAGGGAGAGAAAAAGAATATCTATATATATATATATACCATGTTTTGTTGGTAATAGACCATAATTTTAACATATTAACGCCAAACATTCGGTAGAATTGATAGAATATTGTAAAAATATATATATATATATATATATATATATATATATATATATATGTGTTTAGTATCTAAATATATATATATATATATGTATTTAGTATCTAAATATGTATATAATTTTTAAATATAGCAGCAAATCATTTGAAATATCCATATCTCATAAGCAGCACTTGAGAAAAAATAACGCGAAGATAACGAATGAAACTTGGAGGGCAAGGTATATCATCGTTAAGAATGCCAAATGTTCAAATTTTTGTTGGATCAATTAATTAATTAATTAATTAATTAATTACTTAAATAATTAAGTTATGTACTTATTCATTCATTCATTTAGTCATTGTTCATGATCTGTATATATGTTTGTTTAGACATTGTATTTGGACAAAATTATAAACGTTGAACGTAAAATTTACATGTATATTCTTTATTCTCATATGCAAATTTGCGTGTGAAGTAATACATGTACATGTACACACACACGCACACACACACACATATATAGTAGAGCATACATACATACACACATACATACATACATAGAAACATAAATACATACATTTATATATACGTAACGTAGATGTTATACGCATAGCTATTGATCGTGGCTAAAAAGTACACACGCACACAAATACACTCAACTGGCACTCATACGCGTGCACACGTGCGTGCCTATGAGTGGAATATTTTATTTTCATCGATTTAGAATATTATTGTTTATTATTATTATTTATTATTTAACAGTACTAGAGATTTTTATTATGATTAGATTTTTTGACTTCTTCTTTTTGTAACTTATTATCTGGTGTACAACTTAGCAGTGTAATCCATACATTTGTGCGTGCGTGTGTGCGTGCGTGTGTTAGTATGTGCGTGTATAGACATATAATTGTCTGACGTCGATGCTGTAACGTCACGTAGCACGGCCGCCGTAGTTTGGCGACACCGAAGGTATAATTACACTGCTCTCCACTGCAACACCATTATACTTCCAATTACTTATTAATGATTAATCAAATTTTAATTGAAAATTTTATTTAAAATTTTTATTTACAAGTTTCGAATCAAATTTTTTATTTTTTAAAATTTATTAATTATTATCAAAGGTGTCACTTCAACTTTTGATTACATGGTAATATATACCGGATGATGTGCAAAAGTGGTGAAACGGGTTGCAAGCGGCTGTAATGGTTTTTCGCAACGACAACGATTTTTATTTTATTTATCTTTATTATAGAGCTCTGACATGGGCGAAATTGGTTTACAATATAGTATAATTATATATAATTATAGAGGAACCAAAGTCTATAGGATACATACGCACTGCCCGCATACATATTTTGTAGTTCAGTTAGTTTAGTTAAGTTCTATAGTTTTTTTGAAATTCGAACAGACTGTTTTCGAATCAGGTCGCCGCGCAGTAGCATCGCGAGCCATGGCGCTTCTACCGACTGAGCTAACTCGCCGACCGGTAAGTTTATTCCGTCGTATAGAACGCCGAGACTACATCATAACATCAATTTGCTGCTGAATAAGAATCACAACAATGCCAATTAACACAACGACAACAACAATAACATCAACAAATAATCACAACAACAAAGACGTCAATATTAATGGCAGTAACATCACTAACAACAATAACGTCGTTACGATATAATATAATAATATATTTATTTAAATGAAAGGTTTCTTCTTTAAAATAATAATCCTAATAGTATTATAAATAATTATAGTAACAACAACAAAAGCAAGAATAATAGCAATAATAATGATAATAATAATAATAATAATAACACGTTAGCAAACAAGCCGGCTGTTGGTCCATCACGCGAAGCAATGAATAGACCGCAAATAAATTTTCTTCCAATTCCCACATTCAATAGTAGCAATAATAATAGTAATAATAATAATAAAAAAATAATAATTATTACTAATAATAATAATAACAACCGATAATAACAATAACAGTTATTCCCCCCTCTTCTTCTTATTATTATAACAACGATTATAGCTACATCATTGGTGATAATAATAGTGATGAAAATACCAAATAGTTTACTTCGTGGCAGCGAGCTCATGTTTGTACCTGCTTGCTTATATATGCACATACACACGCACGCACCACACACAGGCACGCACACACGCGCACACACATACACACGCAAAAACACACATACCTGGACATTCTGCATATTGGCTGTCTTAAATGAAAGGTTTTTTTTAGCTAATGTTCATTTAGTATAGATTTTATTGAACGTTTATTAGGCACGCTCAATAAATTAGTCTTCGATGTATTAAATAAAGATCTCTGTCATGTTTTCGATGCGTAGCTATGTTGGCTGGTAGATACTGCATGTAATTGAGGTTTGTGTGTATTTATTTATTTACAAATGTTCCTGTAGATCTTATAGTTATTAACACACAAACGCATAAACACGTACGCCACACACAGACACACACATGCATGTATATATATATTATATAAATATGTGTGTTTTGTCCGTGTGCGTGTGTGTGTGTGTGTGTGTGTGCGTGTACGCGAGTCAGTATAAATGTTTAAATATAATAAATGCTTTTAATTTTTTATAACTTATTTTTAATTAATAGTGACTTTGTTTATAGTGTTAAGTTTTAATATGTAGAAAATTTTTATTTTTGTGTTAAAGGATCGTTACGCATTGTTATTCACGTACTGTGTGCGTGCGTGATGTATGTGCGTGCGAGATGTGTGTGCGTAATGTATACGTGTGATGCGTGCGTGCGTGTGTGTTTATACTGTTTTTACCGTTGGTTTAGCAAGCATCGAGTAATTAGAGATACTAAAATATATTGTGCACGTTATATATATATACTCAATATATATATATATATATATATATATATACTTAATATATATATATATATATATATATATATTTATATATTTGTGTTAAAATATATATGACTATATGTATGTGATTGTGTGTGTGTGATTTTATGTGTGATTGTGTGTATGTGCGTTTGGTATAGATGCATACACGTGTATGTTTTTTCTTTTTGCGTGCATATGACTTGTACATTTTTATATGTATATGTGGTGTAGGAAACATTCATAAATGTACGTTTTATAGACAATGTATGCCTATAGGAGCTTTCAAGTGCATGTACGTACAATGTATACAGTATGTATGTATGTATGTATGTATGTATGTATGTATGTATGTATGTATGTATGTATGTATGTATGTATGTATGTATGTATGTATGTATGTATATATGTATGTATGTATGTATGTGCGTATATATGTATGTACGAACGTATGTATGCAATGTATGTACGTTTTTATATCATGTTCGTATTCCTAGTTGTTTGTCAAATGTAAATTTATCGTACTAGCGAACATCTATCTATCTGTTATTGTTATTGTTTGCTCTGTCTACGTTTGCTAGTGTTATTATTGTTATTGTTGCAAAATTTTTGTTGTTGCTGGGTGTTTTTCTGATGTTTTTGGCTTCGTTGATGTGATTATGGCTGTTTCAAGTCAGCACTTCGTTCATACTGTTAAGCGTTGGTGTTGTTAATTCATTCCTGCAGTTTGCAATGTGAAATAAGTTTTGCTGTGTTTTATGACCACGGCGGCAAATGAACCATAGCATCAAATTCTTCATCACTTTACATATTTTATGCAGATTTCCAAGCTAAAACTAAAGTTCAACAGGGTGAAACTAACTCACGGACATTGTAAATGAATATTCAGTGAAACTTTAGCCCCGCCTACCGATGACGTCATCATGAACGAGGACTCAACATCAGCATCCATCAGCTCATCATCTGTCGCCACGTCATCCCTTCTCCATGTTCCCTCGCAATGGACTGGCCATAAAATGTTCGGCCAGTCCAATAGTGTCACTCATAATTTCTCATCGCTATCTATATCGTCTTCTTCTTCTTCATCATCATCATCGTCTTCATCTTCATCATTTTCGTCTTCTTCATCGTCATCGTCACCATCGCCTTCATCATCATTTTTGTTATCATCATCGTCATTCTGTTCAACGTCAGCCTCATTGTTACCCTCGTCGGCATCATTGAGTGTTCATTCGACTCTTAT